CCTGAGGCGTTCACTCATGGTTTTCAGATCTGCACAGGAAAAGACAATATTAGCCATCTTGGACTCCTTTTAAACACTCACTGACCAAAACAATGAGACAAGAAATCTCTGTTGGTTTGATTCCATTTGATCATCCCAACGCCTTGGTGTAAGCAAAATTCTTACGATCAAGGAAAATGGTTCTTAAATCAAGTACATTTTTCTGTGTGTGTGTGTGTGTGTGTGTGTGTGTGTGTGTAATGCACAACCATTGTAACATTAAAGGAACCATTATCAGTCATCTGGTCCAAGCCCCCATTCAACACAAGGAAGCTAAGTGGATTAGCAGCAATAAGTATGATGAGCTCACTACCGTGAGCTTTTCATTCAGAAGGACACAGAAGAGCCTCTATCTACGTGGAGCGGGAACATTTCTATTGAATCATGTAATGCTAAACTCCAAACAATCAGACTGAGTTGGATTCGCAGTTGTTTTGGTGTTGTACAGACACCGAGATTAAAGTAGAAAAACTAATCATAAATACATCTGCGAAGGCGCCAACGTCCTTTCAAATAAAATAGTTCAAACAGGTTTTGTCTCATGTTCCATTCGATGGGAAAACAACTGACGATTTACTTAATAATCTACTTTCTAAAGCAAATAAGCCTTGCGAGATGATTGCACAACATTTCCCCAATATTCCTACTTGCTTTTTACAAGGTTTTATTTTACAATGGAAAACAAGCACTAAATCTTATACATAAAACTGCAAAAAGGTTTCCTCAATTTTCACTCTCAGGACCAATGTAAATAATTCTGTGCAGAGTAGTAGATGCTGATATGTATCAGATTACTGACCTCTAGCTGTCTTTTAAGTCTGGTTCTATCATTAAAAATCATAAATGCATGATCTATACAAGGAAAAACACATCAAAATGGCTAAAATTTGGGCTAGCAATACCTCAAATTCCCATTATATTTTCAGATTCTCCAATCATAAGAGAAACTTCCGACAATATACTTTGGAGTTATTGTTTATGTACAGCATCCCAAAATGGGAAGAAACTCATTGGCATCAAATTCCAAAATCCACTATAAAATACCAAAGAAAACATAAAAAATATCTGCTTCTGCCTATCTCTTTTGATCTTGGTAGAATTTATATCATCACATTTGTTACATTCAACTTTCAGGTTTTTTTTTTTCTTTATTCTCCAACTGGAACAGTTTGGCGGGAGAGAAAAATCTAAAAGTGTTAAAATACACAAAGACCCAGCAAATCCCCCACTAATATCTCACCCAATGAGACTGAACAGATCAAGATATTCTCTCATTTAAGAAAAAACACTGGATCTGGGCCTCTCTCTGTAAACTTCAGTGCTTATATTCTCTCCACCTCAATGCCTGCCACTTAAGATATGCCACCCAATATAATTTTTGCAAGGGATAAACGTATAACCAAACACAAACATACGGGAATAAAGAATGAAACTTGACACAAAGAAGTCTGTCCAAAAGCTTTTCAAACGATTTTGTGAAGAGGAAATGAAAGATAAGGAGGCCCTAACAGAGCAGAAACCAAGCGAGCATTAGAGGTATGGGGCCTTCCTGAGCAAGCACCACCTATCTGAATGCATCTTTTCTGCTCTAAAGCTGGAGACTGCATCTTCCCCACTCTAGCCTTCTCAGCTGCTTTCAATGAAAAAGAGGGTGACTAAACATTGGTGACACCAAATATAAAGGCCATCACTCTGTTTCCATTTCTCTCACTCAAGTGGGAAACCTGGGGTAAATGAGAACAACCTCTCTCACAATCAGTGGGTATAAGAAGTCATGGCTGGGCCAAACTACTCAGACGACACCCAGTATGTAACAAAGTAAAACAGGTTAGATCCCTTCTCTGTAAGAGATTTTTAGGACATGAGGGAATGATAAGATGTGTTCTTAGAAAAATCTAAGGAGTAAGGAGATGTAAGATTATTAATGTGTCTGTCTGGTCTTCAAATATGTAACCATGTTAGTGTCAAGACTACACATTTTTCTCAGCATTTTAAGGCATCCCAAGGAAAAAAATATATTGCTCCACTAAGAAGCACTATTTACTATTGTATTTATTTTTTAGAGTTTTTGGTTGGTTGGGTTTTTTGCTATAGGGTACATGCACTCACTAGAGAGACCTAGAGAGAGAGAAACAGAAAATGAGAAATCACCCCCCAGGGTAGAATGATGACCACGTCATAATCCCTTCTCCTCCTCTCTCCTCTTGTGATTTTTGGCATGCGCACACACGTGCCCAGTGTGATTTTCAATCCACTGGGCCCGGTACTTGAATCATGGTCAACCAAGTGAGAGTCCAGTGCCTTAATCACTACGCCACCTGTTGGTCCCACAATTTACTGTTTTAATTAATTCTGTCTAGTACACATCTCAGCCCAACACTAGCCTTGCTCAATGGGATCAACTCTTCCCTCATGAGCACTCAGCTATGGAAATGAGTGGTATCCAATGAGAGACACTCACACCCTTCTAGGCTGGATTAAGCAAGATAATTCCAGAAAGTAAGCTGTGTTGGGCTCTGACAGACCAGATCTGCTAGCCTCCCACTATAGGTGTTCCGAGTGCACAGACAGGAAGTGAAGGAAACTCTCCCCGAACTCATACAGCTTCTTGGGAGGGGTTCACAAAAGAAGCTGAGATGGTCCAAATTCAGTTCGCTTAAGATTGGAAACAGAAACGTTAGGTTTTAACATATATTCCACACAGTGGACAATATTTACTCCCGAATCACACTAGCCTTCTGGATTACAGACGGAGTCAACCCTGGGTTTGGTTTTCTTATACTGAAATACATAGTAGGCAGGCAGAGAGAAGAGGAAGAAAACCAAGATGTCTGTCCACACGAAGGAGCATAGGCTACTGACCTCATTACTGCAACTATAGAAACCCTTAATGTAGACGTGAATGCACAGAAGACACCAGTAACTTTCAGTAATCGAGGAGCTAACGGATCCCCTTTCAAATGATTCCTTTTTCTATTCTAACACTTCAACAACAGGGTCTTAGCACCCCGAAGAGATTACAAATAGAACAGGGACGGAAGACCCTGACTTGGTGCAAAAGCTGGCCCCACCGATGGTTGAAAAGACAACATTTCAGCTAGCTAGCTGTCATCTTCATATGGCAAATTAGTTTAATTGGGGAGTTCTCGACTGAGTCGATAATTGTTCATCTCAGCGTAGTGCAGGCATGGCAGCAAGGTCTACAGTTCCACGTTTCTGAAGGCATCTTTTGTTTGGTGGTGGTGTCTGGATGTGGAACAAAGCTTGAAATAAAGAACAACTATAGTGACGCTAGCAGGATCTAGCAAGAGCCTGGGAAATAAGCACTGCGTTCACTAGGATTTCTCCCCCTGAAAGGACAGCAGTCAAGCGATCCAATCTAACGTCCTTCCTACTACCTTGAAAAGCTCTTGGAAATGAAAAACGGTCTCCCATTTGCAAGCACACAGCCAGTTTTCATATCTAGTCCAGGCTGCAGTTCCCACTGGGCTTTCTGCATCGAGGCAGCTGAGTGCCTGGGGGTTCTCCAGGAGAGCAGTCCTCGAATGAACACAGGCCCCCGTTCTCCCTCCCCAGTCTGCTCTGACATCCTGCCCTCCCCTGGAACATGGACTCCCATCACTCTTCACACATGACTACTCTGCCGGCGAGGAGTCCAAACCAGCCTCGGCCACCATCTGTCCCCCACACCACCATCCAGAGAGGTTCAGATCTATACTTAGAAAAGGCGAATGGCATTACCCATGGGGAACCTTATAACTTCATAATATCCCGGAGCTTCTGTTCTCTTCACTGGTTCCATGAAGGGCCAAGCGCTTTGATGGCTCTTGGGTAAAGAAAAAAGTAAGGTATCTAATATGGAAATTCCATGGAGGAAATCGTTTCAAAATATTTGCATGAGGTGAACAAAAAGAGCACCCACCTTCACCTGCTGGAGGATGCTCTTGAGTGTGCTGTAAAGCTGGTCAGGGTCTTTGGGCTCTTTGCTTGAAAGGAAAAGGGTAAACAACGAGAAGTCGTGATTAGTATTTTTACCCTCCTGCCAAGATGACCACTCTTCAGCTCATTCTTTAAAGGCTTAAATTCTGAACCATCCCACAATGCTTTGGTGAACCCTGAAGCCCACGGACTGCGGCATTAATGGCTAGGACTGGTTTTCTCTAAGTTCCTGGCTGAAGGGAAGGAATCCCTTGCATTAATGCCTTTCATCCATCATGCTTACCTTCTCTCTTTTCCACTCGATTTCCAGCCTGTTTCTCCTATACGTCAATGAAATGAAACACTGAATGAGAACTGCTTTTGGTCAAGAGAATAACAAAGTTAATACTTATCAAAAACACAACACATTACAATTAGGGCTCAATAAATGTCTATTTCTGGGAAGAGACGGTCATTTACGGCATTGTTTCCTTATCAGGCTAACAATACAAAACATTTCTAAGATGGACAATACTACACTGTCCGTTAAAGCAGGGATGCCAACCTTTCAGGAGAAGGTATACAAAATAAGGATGGCCAGGACCTCAGACATGTGTATTTTTTAAACTGTACATTGAACTTGGTGAATCACTATGAGAAAAAGCTAAGCTGTTACTTCAGATCACAACAAACTCAGTCTTGGTCTCTAATTTTTTTTTGGTCAAGACCCTTCTTGTAATATAAGATGGTTGAGTGTAACAGCTGTAAAATGCAGCCTCAAGATCTAACCTTACTTTTCTGCTCTTTCCATAAATGCTAACGTACCCTGTAATCATTAACAATGATTTACTTAACCTCTCGCTTCTCAGTTTATTAAAGTATAAAACTGGACTCCAAAAATTAGGTAATATTATCCTTTTGGGATTAGTTGATGTTATTAAAAGAAAAATTAACAAACAAACCAGAATGTCTGGTACGTGTAGGCATTCGATGATGTGGGAGCTATTATGCCATTAGTGAGATTGTGTAAGGAAAGAGAATTGTGGTTCTAGCAAGAAGAGATCCGCTACAGGACAGATGTAACGAAGGAGATTTATCTTGCCCAAATCATGCCTAACTTTTTCTGAAAAATTGTAGTTTGTTTTTGTTTTGTTTATCAAATCTTCCATATAACAGAACCAGCATTAGAAACAAAATTGCCAAATGATCTTCAATAGCTTTTGATCTATAACAGGTCTCTAGGTCTAACATACTCAGACGAGAACACTTAGGGAAAAGCCCTGTTAAACGGAGACCCTGAAACACGGGTTTCCATCAAACATGGAACATAATCCTTTTCAGAAATTTAGGGAAACTGGTTTTGGCAAGCACGGATCTGTGCTGGGACCACCCAGGACCCAGTACACGCAGCAGAATGCTTGGAGGGGATCAGAACCGGGCTGCTGCTCGTTCTGACTGTCACGGACTACGTGCCATTCAACAGTGAACGACCTTACTGTTCTGAGACTCGGTGTCCCCCATGGGGAGAAAAGGAGAATTCCCCTCATGTCAAGGCTGCCTGTGGGTAGTGCCCGACCGTGTGCTACACGGGGTAAGCTGTTCATAAATAGGGGAGGTTAACGACTCCAACGGGAGGCATCTAAGCTCCATTTGGTGTGCTGGAGTTGGAATACAGAGAAAAGGAAAGGAAGCACTCATGCCTTCCTCAACGACAAGAAATACCATAAACAGAGGCGGGCGAGGCAATGGAGGGGTCAAAGGAACTACTCTGGAAACCGCTTCAAACACAAGTCATGGCATCGCCAAAAGGGCTTGCTTTTAAAAGAAGCTGTATACATACGAATTCCAGGAATGCTTTCTATAGGAATCTGCCGAACTCCATCTTTAAAACAGGAAAGCCCAGGGTAGACTTTTCGAATCTGAGCTTGTTTTCTTTCTATCAGCTTCTTAATGATCTGGAAAGGACAGAAAGAAAATGTGTTGCGTGGAAGAAGTCCATGACTGCAGCTCCAGTCAGACAGCATCGGGAAACACGTTTCTAACAAAATCAAGGCTTTTATATGGAAAAAAAAGTGAGAGGAAAGGGTGAATGTTATTTAACAGGTTTAAAAAAAGAAAATATAAAAAAACTTTTTTTTTTCTTTTTTTTAAATACCAAGCCCCATCCAGCAACATGCACACAACCATCTTTGAATGACTGTTCCTGCCAGGCAGAAAAGCCAATGCTGAGAGATCACTCCGCCCCTGGGGTCCGCTTGTCATCTTCAGCAGAAGAGCCAATTACTCTGGCCTGCTTCTCCGAGGAGCCTCTGCTCGGATTACAGGAAAGCAGTCCTGAGTATGCACTGCCCAGTCAAGTGACAGAACATCTTCGTAGCCCATAACCAGGAGCGGATCCCTTCAGACTTTAGAAGGCAGATAAAGAGGCCTCAGGAAGCCCCAGAGATATTAGTCAAAGTCTTACTATTATTTAAACGTTTCAAGGTCAACCCTGACCTATGCTGCTCCCTCCAAAAAAACAAATAAATAAATAAAGGCAGCTCTTGGGCCAGCTGGTGGCATGGTAATTAACGAAGCAGGATCGCACATAGCTAATTGTGTGGTTCAAGTCCTAGACCCAGCAGCTTGGGAAACACACCAGGTGCATGTGTGTGCATGCCGGCAATCCTGAGAGGAGAATGGAGGTGAGGGGATCTGGTGTGGCCATCCCCCTGAGGGGACCTTTCTCACTTTCCCGTTCTCTCTCTCTGTCTCTCGGGCGAGTCCACATGTTCTCTCCCAAATTACCAAAAAAAAAAAAAAAAGGCAGCTTTGACCTGTGGCTTGCTAAGGCCACACAGCGACGGCGTAAGCAGCCAAAGCGGATTCAGGAATTTTGAGAAAGGTGGCTTGCTTTGTAAAGTATGTAATATACTGAGGTAACTACTTCTAAGGTGGTGCTTTTCTTTAAAAAGATAAATAAGTAAATAATTTTTAAAAAGCCCATCTGAAAATTAATGTCATAACCAGATTTTGGAAAAGAATAAAACAAAACAGTAGAGGACCAGCAGGTGGCGTGGTGGTTAAGGTGCTGTACTCCCACATGACTGACCATAGTTCGAGTCCCAGACTCTGCAGTTTGAAAATCACACTGGGCATGTGTATGCGTGCCCAAAATCCCAAGAGGAAAAGGAATTGTGGCCTGGTCATCTCCCCTGGTGAGGTGATTTCTCACTTTCCCTCCTTCTCTCTCCAGCAAGTACATGCAACCTATGGCAAAAACCTAAATAAATAAATAAAAACCAGTAAAAGTTTTTAAATAAATTGACAAAGGAAAATAAAGAATTCTAGTTATCAAGTTCTTGATTTGAAACATATGAGTGGTAAATACTGCACTATGAATATACAATCCTAATGGAAACAAATAAACTAATAACAACTAGCAAATAACCAAAAGTAAATGAATAAAAACAAAGAACTTAATGAAATGAATGAGGCTGGTAAAATTATACCCCTCATAAATCTAGATCAGTCCTGCCCAATAAAATAAAATCTGGCCACTCATCATTTAAAATGGAAATTCTTTACCTGTATTTTTTTAAAGAATTATTTTATTGAACTTTATTTACTTATTTGTTTTCATTTGACCAGCGAGGAACAGAGAGAGAGAAAGCTGCCAGGTTTGGTACTTGAACCATGGTCAGCCACGTGGGAGTCCAGAGCTCTTAACCATCATGCCACCTGCCAGCCCTTTATCTGTATTTTTTAAAAAGGTAAAAAGAATCAGCAAAAACTTGATTTTTTTGTTTCTTTGTTTTATTATTGTTGTTTCTTTCTTTCTTTCTTTTTTGGAGAAGTTTTTGCTATAGGGCACGTACGCTCATCAGAAAGACAGAGACAGACAGAAAGCCAGAAAGAGAGAAATCAGCCCCTGGGGAATGGCCACACCACAATCCCTTCTCCTCCACTCTCCTCTTGGAATCTTGGGCATGCACGCACACGCGCCCGGCGTGAGTTTAAGCCACTGGCTCCGGGATTCGAACCGCAGTCGACTACATGGGAGTCCAACGACAGCCATTACACCAACTGCTGGTCCCCAAATAATTCTCTTTTAAAAAAACAAACTTCCTACAAAGCTGTCTGAGGTGGCTCTAGACCCCAACCATCTCCCTTTCCCCCGGGGTCACACACACTGAGAAGGACGTAACTTTCCATTCTCAGGCCTACCTGTCCAAGGATGCTAGTTCCCTTCCTCCCTCAACCACAGCTTTTCCTGCTCTGCATGGGTTCTAGGGGCTGGGAACGCCCTGAGCGCACTCACAGATAGTTTGCTACCTGCAGCAGCCAGTCCCTACCTTTGGGCAGAGGATTACTCACAGCTGGCATAAATGATACTCTAAAAAGCATCTGGATTCCGTGAAATAAGATCCACAAGAGCAAAGATATTTTTATATGATGACTTCCGTGCAATTTGTAAAGAATTAGGTTAACAGCTGCAAGTCCCCATCACCTAGTCCAGGGTGCCTGTGAGAGAAGGCTGAAGGCAACGTGGGAGGGAAAAGGGAGAGAGGAGGGAGCCAGGGGAAAAGGAGCAAACAGAGAGCAGGGGCCCTTCTAAAATGCTGATGCTCTGTCAGCCCTCCAAACAGCTCTGTGCTTCTGGCCTTCCCTTGAGTAGGAAGGGCGGAGGGGTCAGAGGCGATGGGAACCTGCAGGCTCTGCCTGGGAATGCCGCTAACAGGGAGGAGGGAGGAGGACATTGCAGCTGACAGCGTGGTGGCAGTGGTGGCGGCCTTAGCTGGCCAGGAGCCTGACTGCTGGCTCCAGACCTGCTCATTAGGCCCCAAAGCAAACAATGGCAGAAGCCAGCTCTTTGGGGAGAGGGGAGCGAGGCGCCTGCTGTGCATTATTAACTCTTCCAAATGCCCTATTTAGAATCCTCTCTTCAGCTGACATCTTTGCAAAGAAACAGAAGTTATTTTTCTTTTCTTTTCTTTTCTTTTCTTTTCTTTTCTTTTCTTTTCTTTTCTTTTCTTTTCTTTTCTTTTCTTTTCTTTTCAAAGGCCTTTTGCTCACTTTCTTCATAAGCATAAGAACACATTTGAGTGACTTCAAGAGAAAGGAAAATCCTTTCTGAGTAACCCTCATGCCCCCAACACTGTGCAGGAACTTGGTGGCTGTCACTTCAGCAATGCCTGACAGACAATTGAACACTGAGCTAGGGACATCAGTGAGACCAGAAAACAGAGATGGACTTAAGACAGATGTCTTGGGCCAGCAAGTGGCGTGGTGGTTAAAGCGGCTGGATCCCACGTGGCCAACTGCATGGTTTGAATCCTGGATCGGCGGATTGAGAAACACACCAGGCGTGTGTATGTACACTCCCAAAACGAGAGGAGAAAGGAGGAGAAAGATTTGCACCGTGACCATGCCCCATGGAGGATGCTTTCTCACTTTCTCACTCTTGCTTTCTCTCACGAGTCCACGCACTCACTACAAATTAAAAACAAATAATAAAAAGGACAGAATCTTCTTTAGCTACTTGTTAGAGAAAAATGCACCAGAACGAATACCATAGGAATCAAGCGGAATTGACAAGGAACAACCCAGCTGCAAACTCAAGGTTTTGAACATCGACAAACTGGAAGGGGCAGGGGGGTGACCGACCATGTTCTGGTCGAGCTCTTTTCTTCTGCCTTAGAGAAATTTAAAATTACCATGCAGTCAAATCTACCAACCCTTCCTCTCTCTGTTTCTCTTGTTAGTTCACCCAACAACAGCTAAATCACTTAATACCTAGATAGAAGGATGAGTCCTCAGAATCTGCAATGGAATTGATTAACATACACTACGATAAATTTCTGAACTTCCAACAGGTCAATCAAACCAGTGCTACAGAGGTTCAAAGGAGGAACTGACCATGGGGTAGAATGACTGGGTTGCAGGGGTGTTGGACCAAGGGCAGGTAATGGATGCAGACAGGGAGCTAAGGTGTTAAAGCATCAAGAACAGCCTTAGGAGAACAGTAGGGGATGAAATTCAAGTGGTAAGACTAGAAAGGATGACTGAAGTCAGAATGTAAAGGGTCCTGAAAATAAAACTGAAATGTGCCCTTATTTTGTATTATACATCAATAATAAGTGTCAACGCTCATGGAAATGGCATCTTAGAAGGCAGAAAGGTGGGAATCTAGACAAACTATAGCAAGGGACTGTATGGCTTCCAATGGACCCAAGAACACAGAAGCCAATGAAAGGCAGCCCATCCCAACTAAGGCGGACTGTGTAGGAACATGGGCGGAGCCTACCTCCTTCTGCTTTTTAATGATGACAGAAAATTCCGTGTACGGGATCCGTGGATTCAGCTCACATCCCATCAGAGTGGCTCCTTCATAGTCCTTGATGTAGCCGACATATTTGGTTTTAGGTATTTTAATTTCTTTGGAGAAACCCTGGAAAGCAAATATGAACACCGCTCATCAACTATCCATTGAGCGGGATATGCCGGGCACTGAGCGAGGGACCAACACAGCCTCCTCCAGGTGCTCACCCTGTGACTCTGAAGGGGATGAACGTGAAACGACAAACTAAGTTCAAAAACATCACCAACCAGGGGGGCAATGGTGGTGCAAAGTGCAATTCTCTGCAGGCTGAGCCACGTGGGGAGGTTCTGGGTTCTAGTCAGGAGATGTCTGTGAGCAGGTGGGGATGTGTATGTGTATATCCAGGGCTGGCCGGGGGCAGACTGTGTCAAGATTCTGTTGGGGGCACTATCTCTCTGTCACTGTCTCTACCTCTCTCTGTCTCTCTTACTCATGGAAGAAATGGATAATAAATAGGATAAAAACTCTAATGACGGACCAGCAGATGATGTAATGGTTATGTCCCTGGACTCCCACGTAGTCAACTGCAGTTCGAGTCCCAGACCTGAAGGCTTAAAACTCATGCTGGTACGTGTGTTTGTGTGCCCAAGATTTTGAGAGGAAAATCGAGGAGAAGGGGTTGCGGCGTGGTCATCCCCCCATGGGGATGATTTCTCGCTTTCTGTCTCTCTGTCTGTCTCTGTCTCTCTGTCTCTCAAGCGAGTGCACAGGTTCTATAGCAAAAATCTCTCTTAAAAAAAACTAATTAGGGACAAGCAGTTAGCGCAATGGCTATGTCGCTGAACTCCCATGTAGTTGACTGTGGTTCAAGTCCCAGATTCAGTGGCTTAAACTCATACAGGGCATGTGTGCGTGCATACACAAGATCCAGGGAGGAGAATGCAGAAGGGATTGCGGCATGGCCATCCCCCCTAGGGGGTGATTTCTCACTTTCTGTCTCTATGTCTCTCTCTTTCTGGCGAGCGCACACGCCCTATAGCAAAAACATCTCCAAAAAAATAATAAATAAAGGTCAATAAATATGGAAAAATAAATCAAACTTCACATTACAAACAAATTTAAATATATTCAATTGGTTAGCTGGGAAAGGTATAAAAATGTATTTCCATTATCATTTCCTGAGTCCTCTATTTTCTATTTCTGAGAACAGAAATTGTTACAGTGTTTGGCACTACTTAAAAAATCTCATAAATCTCTGCAAGCAACTCTACCGATTATTCTAACCAATTTGGCATCAAGGGAAAAACACAACACACACACATGCACACCCACACACACAAATGCATGTATACTTACATACCAGAACCACGTACATATCCAAAAATGTGGTATTGGCTAAAGAAGTTACTTTCTATTTACACAACAAAGTTCCAGAAAACTATCAAAAATTATAGAAAAATCGGAATATTAAGTAAAAAAGGCAAGTTACTAAATTATACACACAGTATAAGACAATTTTTGTATTTATGAGAGAATTTCTAAAAATTGGTGGAAAATAGGGACCAGCAGTTGGCGTAATGGCTATGTCGCTGGACTCCCACGTAGTCGACTGTGGTTTGAGTCCCGGACCTGGTGGCTTAAAGTCATGCTGGGTGCATGTGTGTGCATGCCCAGGCTCCTGAGAGGAGAATGGAGGAGAAGGGATTGTGGTGTGGCCATTCCCCCTGGGTGTGTGTGTGTGTGTGTGTGTGTGTGTGACTTCTCACTTTCTGTCTCTCTGTCTCTCTCTGTCTTTCTGGCAAGTGCACACGTCCTATAGCAAAAAAACTCTCCAAAAAAATAATAAAATTGGTAGAAAATAGAATTAAAGTACGAGTTTTATTTTAGTGCCAAAAAATTTGAAATCTATACTACAGTTTTTCCATGCTATGAATTTTCTAAGAACTTTTAGAAGACTCCCTCAGCTATATATGCAGGCATAGAAAAACTATTGGAAAGGTTTACTGTATCAAGGAGTAGACAGTAAACTTCTTTGGATGGAAGAATGGCAAGCAATTTTCTTTTCTTCTCTTTCCTTTCCAACATTTTCCACAATCTCTATAGTTTGGGCTATACATTACTTTCCTAAATAAAAGTAAAACGGGGTCCAGCAGGTAGTCAGTGGTTAAGGTACTGGACTCCATGTGGTAGACAGTGGTTCAAGTCCCAGAGTGGCAGCCTGAAACTCACGCCAGGTGTCTCTGTGTGTGTGTGCCCAAAATCCTGAGAGGAGAATGGAGAAGGAGGAATCACAGCGTGGCCAACCTCCTTGGGGGGGTGATTTCTTGCTTTCTGTTCTCTGTCTCGCCCCGTCTCTCCACCAGCTGTCCTATAGCAAAAAAATCTCTAAAGAAATAAATCAGAGGAAAAGGAAAAATGTTTGGAAATCTTTAAGTTGCCATTAAAAACAATACGCAGCCTGAGTAATCCTCCAAAAGCCAAACTAAAAGCTCCAGATGAGGAAGTCCAAAGCCGGCAGCCTAGCTCCTAGATGCCTGTGTTTTACAGGGCTGGGCTGCCCGCAGCCACCGTAAACTTCGGGGCTTCCTCTCTGCTGTCCTAGAGAGATCTTTCCAAGACTAACTCCCTTCCTCTCACTCACACAGCACTCTACCTATCCCGGCTTGGGAATTCCTTCTTAGCCTTCAGATGCATATTTTCCAATGTCAGGGTGCCACGTTACAGTCTGCTTACATTTGACAATCAGTCATCCACTCAATGGCAACTTACTACGGACTCTGTCAACTCACTCCCAAATCCAGGCCGAAGCCTTTTTCCGATGTAAGACTTATGAACAAAATGTGTCCTTGTACGGAAGACACACCAGAGAAAAGCTCACCTGGATAAAAGCTACCTGAGTGCACGTTGAGGAAAGGAATGGCGGAATGGCGCTTCGCAGTGAAAAACCAACCTGTTTCTTGAAGTACCCGATTGCATATTCATCCGCGTACGTGAGGAAGTTCCGGATGTCGTGTTTGATGTGATATTCTTTCAAATGATTCATCAGGTGCGTCCCATAGCCCTGTGTGGAGGTTAGCATGTGGAGAAACATATTAAGTTCTGGGGGAAAGAACAAATTCGCCAGGAAATGTTGGCAACTTCAGGAGTTTTTATTTTGACATATTTTTACCAATCAAGGCTTTTCCTGAAGGGAATGTAATATTAACACACTTTCTTGTATTTCTGAACTTTGAAAATAAACTACAAAACAAAACAAAACAAAAATTAAATCCTTGATTTAAGGTAAAATTGTTATTGGGACATACAAGTTTCTGGTACTTTGAAAATCACACACACAGGCTATAAGCTGTTCGGGTCAATCCTAAAGATCCCTTGCTGAATATTAATATAACAGTTTTAGTCGTAAATGTTGATGATGAACTTTTGCTTATCTTTCAAGTATCGGAGACCCTGAGATGAAAAGAACAATATAAATGAAGAGCTCATTTTCACTAGAGTATTCCCTGATCCAAGCATCTGCTGTATGCCACATACCAGCAAATCCTTCTGAAGTATAGCAGCACATTCACAGGGTTCTCAGCCTGGTCTTATCAGACATTGGCAAGCAAGGTCTGAGAAGCCCAGAATCTCTGAATCAGCCAGAAAACGTGGGGAAGTAACTGAAGACAATGAAGACTGTTGATCTCCTGACGTTATGAAAAATTGCCCATACACCAATATCTACAGCGACGGGCAAAACTTAGAGAAAATCCATCCATTTATATGATTTGTTTCAGAACCTCTTAAAGAGATGAAAGCAAATCCAAGCACCCCCATACAATTACTGTCACAGAGAATTTGGTGATATATGGGGCCAGCAGGTGGCGCGGTGATTAAGGCACTGGACTCCCACATGGTGGACCATGTTTCAAGTCCCACACTTCCTGGCTTGAAAAAAACACTAATCAAGTGTGTGAGCATGCTCCAAATCTTGAGAGAATGGAGAAGGAATTACGGTGTGGCCTTCCCCACACGGGAAGTGATTTCTCACTTTCACTCTCTCTGTCTCTGTCTCTCTCCAGCAACCACAAATGCCCTATGGCAAAAACCTTTTAAAAAATCGGTGATATATGTTTTTGAAGAACTCAAATGTGCTCTCAGGTATGTTCTCATGGAATAAGAGTGCCTAAAAGGCAGAAGGATCTTTGGAAGTCATTAGTCTAACTCCCTAACCCACATGGGGCCAAAGCCTTCTCCATCTTTTGTGAAAAGAAAATGAGTCAGAACACCTCCTGTGCAAAGTGACCACCTGACACCCCCCCATGGACTGCTCCTCTAGCTAGACTGGCCCATTTTCAGATGCCATACAGTTGAGAAGGTCGTCCTCATGTTCTCCCAAGAGCTGGCTTAGTTATTTCTACATAGCGACTATAGTTCTCTCCTCACGGGGTGGACTTACTCCTGCTTTGAGCCCCTGAAGATTATACAATCCTCCCCCACCACACCCACCCCTGCCACCCAAGGTCAGCGCAGCCATCCCTGATCATCCTAATCCCCCTTCCAGGGCTTGCTCCACAGCAGTGCCCCTCCTAGAACACGGGCGCTAGGACCAAGCACAGTAACCATCAGGGAAGGAAGGTCTGCCCAGTAATAGAACGGTGTCATCATCTCTCTTCTGGAAATTCTTCTTCCATTGCCAATACCTGAGGACGTTTTAGCTTCTCCAAAACATACCACAATCTCGAAACACCATGAGTTTGAATAACAAAATAAACATGGGTCAGCAGGTGAAGACGTCAAGGTAGCTGGATCCCACATGGCTGGTGGAGGGTTTCAAGTCCTGGACCAGCAGGTTGAAAAACACATCAGGCACATGTACGTGCATGCCCAAAATCCCAAGAGGAGAACAAAGGAGAAGGGATTGTGGTGTAGTCATCACCCCTGGGAGGTGATTTCCCTCTGTCTTCCTCTCTCTTTCTCTCTCTGTCTCTGTCTCTCTCTCGCCAGTCCTTCCCCAACAAGCACACGTGCACTACAGCAAACTAAAAAAGGGGAGGAGGTCCAGCAGGTGATGTGGTGGTTAAGGGTGCTGGACTCCCATGTGGCTGACCACAGTTCAAGTCTCAGACCTGGCAACTTGCTTTTCAATCCCCACCACCACTGCGACCCCTCTCTGGTCAAATTAAAATTAATTAATTAATTAATTTAATTAAAAAAGAAATATTTCTCTCCTTGAGGAAACAACAGTGGAACTGTGGAAGAGGAGCACATGAGAACATGACTACTGCACAACGCTACACCATCTGGCATGGAGCCACTAGCACCACTCGGTTATTGAGCAATCGAAATGGGATTGGTCTAAATGACAATACATTGGAGGTGTCAAAACTTTCCTCATTATTAACATTTGACTTATGATGTGTTTGTATGACAATATGTTGACTATATTAGGGTAAATACTTTTAAAGATTAAGTTCACCTGTGTTTAATTTTTTAAATATGGCTGTAAGATTTTTAAATTACACACATGACTTGCACTGGTGGTTTGCATTTTATCTCTGTCACGCAGCACTGGGACAACGTAATGTATTTGTACCTAGAATAATAAAAAGGGGGTTGGTGGGACCAGCAGTTAGCAAAATGGCTATGTCACTGAACTCCTATGTAGTCGACCACAGTTCGAGCCCCGGACCCGGTGACTTAAACTCATGCTGGGCATGTGCGTGCCCAAGATCCCGAGAGGAGAATGGAGGAGAAGGGATTGTGGTGTGGCCATCCCCCATGGGGGGTGATTTCTCACTTTCTATCTCTCTGTCTCTGTCTTTCCGGCAAGCGCACGCGCCCTATAGCAAAAACCTCTAAAAAAAGGGGGGGGGGTGTTGGCCCCACAGCCCAGTAGTTAAGGAAGCCAGATCCCATATGGCCTATTATAGTTCAAATCCCAGCCCTAGCAACTTGAAAAACACACTGGCCTGCATGTACAGGTCTCGAGAGTATGGAAAAATGAAGGAGAAGGGATTGCGGCATGGTCACACCCATTTGGGGGGTGCTTTCTATTCTCTCTGTCCCTCTGTACCTGCCAACTAAAACAATGGAAAAGGTTGTAAGATAATGAAGTGGTTGAAGGAAGAGAAGATAGAGGGAAAAGAAGATATTTAAGCTAGATCTTAAAGGAGTTCACCAAGGGGACCAGCAAGTGGTTATGGTGATTAAGGCACTAGATAGGCCCACATGGCTGACCAGGGTTCAAGTCCCGGACCTGGTGGCTTGCCTTTTCACTTTCCCTCTCTCTCTCTGTACAAATTGAAATAAATGAATGAATAAATAAAATTAAATGATGCTTTATTTTTTAAAAAAGAGTTTATCAAATGGAAAATAAGAGAAGAGGGTGGATTCTAAATTCAAATGCATAGCAAAATAAAACTTTACAGAAACTATTTTAGAAGATATAGTGGGGCCGGCAGGTGGCATGGTGGTTAAGGGCACTGGACTCCCACATGGCCAACTGTAGTTTGAGTCCCGGACCTGGTGGCTTGCTTTCTCCCTTTCTCCCTGACCCCCTCTTTTTCTCTCCCCCAATCTGGTCAAAATTAAAATAAAGAAATAAATAAATAAAATTAAATACAATAATTCTTTAAAAATATAGAAAAAGTGGGTATATAACTTAGGGGTACAAAAAGATTAAAGAAAATATCAAATGCAAAATCATAAAAGAACAATTATTAACTATACTATTTCAAATCTGAAACCTTCTTCGCAATCCATAAGCAATTTCATATGCCATAAAGAAATGGCAAGCTGGGAGAGTATCGTTCCAATATGCATTACAAAGACTTCAGATAAAAGATACATGCATATCTTCTGTAGGATCGCTGCAAAAGAGAGAGATGCCCTAAAAGAAAAATTGTGACAAGATAGCAGGAAGCCATAAACATTACCCATAAATATAAACAGGGTGCTCCGTCTCAGCAGAACTCAGAGCACCCCGGCATTAGATGAAACACTGCCCTCGAGAGATGCAAACGTCTTTAAGGTTGAAGAAACCTGGAGTCAGTAAGGACAGGGGAATGATACCCTTCAACCACGCTGGGGAAACGGAAAACCCGTAGACCTATTGAAAGGTCGTCTAGAAATAATTGTGTCTCGGTTTCGACTGGTCATATTCATTTATATACCCATTCCAATTCTCTGTGTCTAGAACACATTTCCAAACAGAATGCTGTTAGTGACAGAAAGTTACTAGAAATGAACATGAACGTCTTCAATGGGGAAGTTATTACATTAACTACAGGATAGCCACATTATGAAATATTACACAAAATGAGTAAAATAGCTCTGTATCCGCATTATCAGAAACTTCTGCCATGAAGGCCAAGTTGTTGATCTGTGCTGAATAGGGCAGCCATTAGTCACATCTTGAGTACTTGAGTGGAGAACTAAACTTTAAATTGCACGTAATGTAATTCATCTAAATATAAATTTAAATAACCGCTTATATGCATTCAAGTTGAAAGATCCCTAAGACATAGTGTCAAGTTTTTGTAAAACACAAAATGAAACAAAAACACCTGGGGCAATCACGTCGTATGAATTAACTTTATAAAAACAACAACAAAGTAACAGTCATCTCCACGACACACCCATGCACCATGTACGAACAGCAGAGAAGTACCTGGCAGGATGTACACCAAGCTGGGCAGAGAGGGATGGCAGGGAGAAGGCGGAAGATGATTTTTGCTCTAACTGAAAATGTATTTGAGAGGGGCCAGCTGGTGGTGTGGTGGTTAAGGGAGCTGGACCCCACATGGCTGACTGCACAATTCAAGTGTCAGACTTCACCAGCTTGAGAAACACACTGGGTGCATGTGCATGCATCTTCCCAAAGGAGAGGAAAATGGAGGGGAAGGGATTGTGATGTGACCAAGCCCATGGGGAGTGGGGGAGTGATCTCTCCCCTCCACTTCTACTGAGCATATACTACCTGGAAAATTAAAAAAGAAAGAGAGAGACGGAGAGAGAGAGGGAAGGAAGAAACAAAGGAAGGAAGGAAGGACAAGGAAGGGAGGGAGGGAGGAAGGAAGG